TGTCTTCGATATCACTGATCCTTTCCTCCATTTGTTCGACTCTATTTCCCAAGCTTGCTATTTCATTTTTCAACTCTTACAGTGTGTTCTTTATCTCCAGAAGGTCTATTCAGTTCTTTTCGAAGGTTTCAATCTCCTCGCTAAAGAACTCATTCTGCTCATCTAGTTGTTTTTTCAATTCCTGAACTTGTTGATATGATTTGTTTCGTATCATTGAGCTTTTTCTGAGGCACCATCCTGAATTCTCTGTCATTTAAGTTGCATATTTCTACATCTGTAAGCTTATTTTCTGGAGATTTTTCTCTTTCTTTCTGAGATGCTTTGTCACCTTGGTTCTTCATGGTGTTTAATGGACTATTTCTCTGCCTGGGCATTAATAGAAGTGTGTTCTGCTTTTCTCCCCACTCCCCATAAATATTTATTATATAATGGTCTCTAGCTTTTTGCAAAGGTGTTTTTCTTTTGGTTTCTAGTAGGTGATGTCTAAGCCTCTTGGATCTCTGCTTTATATTAAGTCTTAATAATGCCTTTTTTTCCCCTTATAGATGTTTAATCACACTCATTACCCTCAGTCTCAGTTCCTGTCAGTGTTAGCGACAGTTTCAGTAGCATTTGCTCAGATTCCCCTAGGGCTCCTCAGTGATCTATCTCAGAGGCTATGGGGAGAGGGCCCTCCTGGGTTGGGGGATGGGGTCTGCTGGCTCAGCCTCAGTTTTTCAACTGTGGCTGGTAAAAATCAACTGTTGTTTCTCTGCTGTCCCCGCTTTTCTGCTATCCCCATCTCTGCCTTCTGCCCTGATGACTGAGCACTGCCTCCGGTCGCGTGGAGCTCACAGTACTCACAAGTAGGGCTGTTCAGAAAAGTCGTCGCACTTTCTCCCCTCCCCCTCTTTATCCTCCTACAGGGAGCTCTGGCTGCGAGAGGCAGCTTCTTTGTTTCTCCCAGTATACTGCCCGACACCCGGGGTTCTGACCTGCGGTAGCTCTTACACACAGATCCCACACTCAGACATGCTAGTGTATACTTTGGGTGTTTTTTGTTGAGTTTTAGATGTTCAGCTTGTTGTTGTTTAAGGGGAGAGATCTGGAGAGGTCTCTCACTCTGCCATGTTTAATTCACTCTCAGCTCCACTTTTAACTGTGTACTTGACCTTATATAGCCAATTTCTTTTGAACAAAAGAGTGCATGACTTTTAAAGCTTGAAAACTACTAGGTGACCAAGATAGCTGTGCCCACAACACTCTGACCTCACAAGATCTCCACAAAATGGTTTGTGTGGACATATAAACTTAGAAAAGACCTCTGAGCATATCAAGCTATTGGCAAATCATAGAATTGGAGTTGTTGTTAGGTACAGTGGCAAATGATTAACAACAGGCTCCCAGACTCCCTGCAGGTGAGGGGAAGGAAATCCTGATTGGTAGTGTGTGCTGACTCCCATGGTGTAAATTCTCTCAACGTGGCCAACTTCAAGTTATCAATATAAAATATCTGAATAGAGTTTGGAAGAGATGCATGTAATAGGCACAGGAGCTGCCTTTGGTACAACACTGGTGACAGGGTACCATTTAATGACCCCACTGTCTTCCCCTTTTAGAATTAGAACCAACTAAGATACAGACTCAGGAGATAGATGGAGGGTACAATGTCAGTCTTATTATGAGCAAAGCTGAGTTAGAGGGTGCAGTAGGTTGGATCATTGTTCAGATATTTGTTTCCTCTAATTCTAGAAAAGAATGGACTTCCCTCTTCTATTGATTTGGAACTCAGTTATGTGACTTGCTTTCTGTTCCAAATCTCGGCTTTAAGAAGTCTCCTGTGTTTTGCTTAACCTGTTGTACTTGTGCCATCACTATTATATGTCTAAGGACTCTGCTGGTCCTAAGGGGAAGAGGCACAGGAGCAGAACAAGCTGCCTAAGCACCCCCACCCTAGGCAAGCTCCCCTCAGCAGACGTGAGGACTCCTGAGTTAAATAAATGCTAGTTGCTGTATGCTCTGAGCTTTTGTGGTTTTCATTAGGTTGCATTATTGAACTTATTCAGAAAATGGCCCCCAGAATGGGAGGCTGCTGTAACAAATTCCTAACACACGTAGCATAGGTTTGGAAGTGGGCAGTGAGGAAACTTAGAGGTTAAAAAGATGACAAGAAAAATGGCAACCTGTGTTATGTGGTGAAGAAATATTTGGTACAATTATTGCCTAATGCAATTTAGGATGGAGGAAATGTACCTTTGAATCTGTAGAATTGGGAGGGCCAGTTTCCAGGCACGGTATTATGAACATGAGCTTCTTGGAGCTATATATGATAAGGTACTGCAAGTAAAAGATGAATCCAGAAAGGAGCGAGTCAATTTGCATGCAGAATCTAGAAAATAAGGTTATTTCTCATCTCCAGTCTTTCTAGTCACTGAAAGATCTTCAAATTAATATTTGGCCTGGGGTGCAAAGACCCAATCCAGGGCAGTACTAGTGAAACTCAACCTCAGAGTAGAAATGAAATCAAGGATGTGCCCCCTCTATTGTAATGTCCATGGTCTTAAGGTCCCTGAAAAGAGTAAGGTGGCTTTAGAATGTCCTCTCAGTGACAACAGTGTGCCTAGAAACCTTCAGGGCATGGCCCCACACAGCCTGATAAGGGGTACCAGTAATCAAACAGAGAGAGGCCTGTCACCAAAGGAATTGTGAGTGTGGCTTTTGGCCCAGAGTAGATTGGAGTCAAATATGTAGAAAACTCACAATGTCTAAGAGAGCTAAATGGGCAAATGTAAGTGTGAAGTAAAGGGGATTGAGGCTGTTTGAAATGTAAAGGACCTCAGACTCCCAGCTTTTTTCCGGAAGGAAGAGGTTGAAGGAGTTACTCTACTGCCAAGGACAGCACACTTTCCAATGCCCTCTTCAGAAGCTGAAGGGATGATGGAAGAAGAACACCCCAACGGTGACAGCTGCAGAATACAATGCGCTGCAGCTACTCAAGAAACATTCCACCCAGAGTAGAGGGGCTGGCAACATTTGCCCCGCAGGATTTCAGATGCTGTGGACCACTGACTGAGATGGGAGTGGTAACTGCAGCGATTCTAGCTGTCCTACCACTGTATGCTGGGTGTATGTGCGTGGAGGGCAGAAAACTTTTCTTTTTAGCTCCTAAGTCTCTGGGTCAAGAAGAACCATATCCAGAATGGATGCAGACCACAAAATCCCAGACCTTGAGACTGATGATTGACTGGATAGACTTTGAGGATCTTGGTTGAATAGATTCAACATGTGGGAGGGACATGAATCTTGTCTATATGTATTGTTGTTGAGAAATATTCACTTTCTTCCTCTCACTCCCATGGAAGGAATACACTTATCAATGTCACTGATGATGAGTTTGGCCATGTGACTTGCTTTGGCCAAAAGAATGAGGGGAAACTGATGGTATACTGGTTCTGTGCATAGTCCTAAAGAGGACCTACATTTTTTGGCTTGCTCTCTTGTGCTTCTGCCATTGCCACAAGAAAGCAATGCCCAAGCCAGCATCCTGGTCCTGGAGTTAGATGAGTCACGTGGAGTGAATCCAAGCTGCCCCATCCACGCCAGCTAGATTAGCTGCCCCCAGCTGACCCATACAGCTGCCCAGCCCAGCCCAGCCTGGATTGGCCAACCCCCAGTTGACCCAGATTCAGGAGCTAAATAAATGCTTATTGTTACATGGAGCTGAAGCTTCGTGGATATCGTTATACAGCATGATTATGGCCATAGTTAATTGATAAAGAAGATGTGGCTGAACTGAATGACCAACATGGGCTTCTTAATACTGCGGCTCATCCAGTCTCAGGCAGCACTGAATAACTTTTGTCCCTGAAGCAGAGCAAAGATGCTTCCAGAGGCCTAATGTGGTGCAGTAGAGAAGGTGCAAAGCCCGAAGACGGGCTTTGAGAGAGGCAGAGGAGAGGGTGAACCAGGTATGCTCAGTTCCTCTTCCTGAGCATGCAGACAGCTAAGCGAGTCCTCCCTCTGGGAGAAGCAAGGCCAGGAGTAGGACTCTGGCTGTAGTCTTTCCCCCAGAAAACACCACCCAGGGAAGTGGTGGCACCCTGACACACAGCAAAGACTCTGGGAATGCGCTGAGGAAAGGAAACCTGCTAATTTCCTTTTCCTTGGATGTTTCCTTTGCTTATTTACCGGAGAGCCCTTCCTCAGTCCACTTAGTTACATCCCACAGAATGTTTTGAGTTTAAATACCTTCCATGTGGCTTGGCTTCAAACGCTCCAAGCGGAGTGCCAAGGTTTTCTCATGGAGAGGTGGACGGAGTATGGAAGGTACCTTCTACTCCCTCTAACCCAGTCCTGAAAACCCTCTTCCCTGTACTCCTTACAGTTTCAGGAGCCATCTCGGGCCTCATGCCCTACTCGCTGGCTCCGCTGCAGTGGCCCAATTTCTGTAATGGTTGATTGATCTCTTACTAGACCTGGGCCTTCCCTATGCATCTGTCAGGGCCGCCTCCCAGGGCTGAGCCCCTGCTTATGGTTCTTCTCCATGAGCCCCTTTGCCCAAGGCCAGTTGCTGGGTATCCTGAGGCTCCAGCTGCCTGCTGTGACTCTCTCCTTTTGCCTGCAGCAGAGCATAGAGGGTCTGCCAGCCCCCACCTGAACTACTCAAATGTGCTCATCAGATTTCCCCTCAAAGAGGGGATTCTGACATGAGGAGTGTTTGGGATTACACCTGGATCTGGTATGCATGGCTCTCAGCACATCATCTTAGATGTTCAGACTAGCTTGCTGGAAGAAGAGCCAGATATTGACTAAAATGCTAAACCTTGCCCACCCTCCACCCCCAGAGAGACAACGAACAAACAGCCAGTAAGTGCCTTAGCATTAAACATCTCTCGGCGATGGTGGAATAGTCAATTTTGACACTGCTAAGAAAAAATACGGCCTAATTTCTGTCCAAATGCACCAAATTTACTGCCCACGTTCTCATTAACTACTGTCAAAGAAGAAGCAGATAGACAAAATAAATTATGAAAAAATTACTTTTTTTTAATGTACAAAAAGACTTATTTACAAGTTGAGCATGTCATCTCAATTCATAGCATGTAGAAAAAGCTAAAAATGCTTTGGAGATACAAATTCGGCTGGATGATTCACCTAGCATATTTTCAGGGATGATGTCTTCTGTACAGACTATATACAGTGTGGGAATGGCTAGTGAAATCCTAGCTCAGGGAGTAAATGACCACCACAGAGCCCAGACCCCTGGACTTGCCCCAAGGCCGTTATTTGGACTTGGTCTTGACTTTGGACCCTAACATAGCATTTGATGTTCTGGGATGCAAAGGGCCCAGGTAAGGTGATGGCCCTGTCTTGCCTTGATAGTCAGTATCAAGCTCATAGTGGTACAGTTGGTTTTGGCAAGGTTGCCACAAATTCCACATGGAAAAGGGGTGAGGGTGTGTGTATTTGTGTGTGTGTAGTGGGGAAGATGCACCAGTTCACCTATAGTATGTTAAGAAATGATGTCTTCTGACACCAGTTCCAAATTCTATTTGGGGATGGGGCTTGGTCACACCAAACAGGAAAGTTCAGTGATGGTCCTTGAGTCCCAGGAATCAACTCCTTTGCCCTCTTGCCTTCAGCGAAAACACCATGCATGCCATCATTCTCTGAAATGAACGAGAGCAGAAGGATGGGAACCCAGAAGATACTAGAACTGCATGCTGCAGCTTGGAGTAGACCACTGGGCTGCCGGTGAGTGGAGGGCATGGCCTGGAAGAACATAAGCAGAGGCTGCTACTGGGCCCTGGGGTTTCCCGTGGTAAAGTGGGTGGACAGTGCATTGGAAAAACAGGATTGGGTAAACATGTGACTTCCTCTTCCTACAGGAAACCTCCAGGGTGGCCTGAGGCTGAACCTCGTGCACTCTAACCTTTTTGAGGTCTCATCCCACATTTGGCTCCCCTTGGTCCATCCCTAACCCACAGCAGCTCCAGCAGCCCCGAGGTATTTAGAAATAAGTGTCCTTTTCAGGAAGGGCTACATTCTACATGCATGAACACTGTAAACATGGTCTGGAGAGGCCAGGGTAGCTTTTGGGCATGCCCCTAGTATTACAATTTTTTCTTTCCTTATTCTGGTAATACCCCCATACTTTATTCATTCATGTACACTTGGACAGTCTGCCAGTTGCAAACTTGGCTTTGTAGGGTAGAGATGTCAGTTCTACCAAACCTGGAATCAGGATGTGCTTCCAAATCATCTAGGTAAAATCTTTTTTTTCCTCTGTGGCAAGGGACGTTAGAGGCCTCAAGAATTAAGCTTCAAAGAATTCTGGTGGCCCAGCAATTCCTTTTCCTTGTAGGCATTGGAACGAGAAGCTTATCTTCCTGGATTAGAATATCCATTATGGCTTTCAGATCCAAACCCAAATGTGGTTCTTCTACCCTCTCTCCTTGTGTACTTGGAAAGCCCTAGCCAAGGCAATCCCTCATTAGCCAAATGACAGAGGCAAAGGAGCCAGAGCAAAGTGGTCCTATAAACACCATAAGTGGGAAGCACTGTGTAAACAAGTTTTTCTTGTTGAGATTTTTTTCAGTGTTCTGAAAAATAATCCAAAAGAAGGCCAGACAAGATGCACATAAACTTGCCCTTAAAGCATTTCTGGTCTGAACCAGCAATTGGCAAACTCCCTCGGACCTATTAATACTATTTTGGAAAAAGATGAAAGGGACAACAGTCCTATGCTCTGGGAATGGATGGTTCCTCTGGGTCCACTCAGCACCAGGGGCTGGGGCCTTAGGTCATCATGTTCAGGAACTTGCTCTCCTCGGCCAGGCTGGTGAGCATAGAGCTCATGTCCCCGACGGCCATATTGCTGATGCCCGTGGGGATGGAGGGCAGAGTCAGGGAGTTCCGGGGGGTAGTGAGGCGGGAGGAGTTCTGGGAGAGGCTGTGGAGGAGGCTGGGGCTCAGGGTGCCCGACAGCAAGCTGGCGTGATCGCCGTCATCCATGATGGCATCAAAATCAATCTGGGCGGCCTCCAGGAGCTGGGAGTCCACAGTGCTGGATACCTGGTTGACCCCTGGTGAGGGCAAGGGCTGAGACTGGATGCTTTCTGAGCAGGCCTGTGGCTGCGGTGGCTGGGGCCTCATGACCTGGCAGCCTACGTGGTTTTCTAGGCCTCCATTCTGTTCATACATGTGGATCTGGCCATAGTAGTAGAGCATGTTGTGGTCCTGGGCCTCACCTGGGTCCTGTGGGGGCAGCTGAGAAGGCAGAGACACCATGGTGGCCATCGCTCCCTTGGGCACAGACTCTGCCATCTCCTGGTTGGCTGACACAGCAGCCATGGCATGGCCAGTAGCCCTGGCATAGGCGAGCTGCTGCCCAGCACGTACCGCACGGTGGCGGCCAGCAGGGCTGGGCTCAGGGGGTGGCCGGGGTTGCACTAGGCCAAAGCTTGATCCAGCCAGCCCAACTGTGCCCTGCTGGAGCTCCATGAAGCCAGGCTGGTGGGAAGGCAGATGGCTGGGGCCCTGGCGGTAGCCCTCCTGGTTCATGGAGGCTGTCAGGTGATGGCTCTGCTGTGGGTAGTTCTGGGCTGGGTGAGATGGCACCATCCCAGCCAGTGTGGAATTGGGAACCCCAAATTCCCTGCGGCTGCTACCCACCATGGTAGGGTCGGGAGCAACTTCCATTTGCTGGGGGAGCCCCAGGTGGCCTGGCTTGGCTGACAGGTTGCTGCAAGATGGGGGGAACTGGTTCAGGGCCCTACCCATGGCACTGGAGCTCAGCTGGGGGTGGGCTTGGCCGTAGGTGGTATGAGGGCTCACCGTGGTGGTCATACTGGAACACTGGCCACCTGTTCCTGGCTGCCGCAGCTGCTGCATATAATTTACCCTGGATGTGGAGGGGGCTCCACTGCAAGACTGAAGGTGTGGCTGTGTGCTCTCCAGGACCCCAGGGCTCGGCTGCAGGCCTTGTGGACTATAACCTGGGTACTGGCTGAAGGTTGGCTTCTGCTGTACCACAGCCAGGTTGCCCTGTGGAAAAGCTGGAGGCTTCACCTGCGTGGCCAGGACGTCCATGGTGCCCGAGCTCACCTCATTCCACTGCACAGGCATGCTGTTTTTGTTTAGGCTAGAGGAGGCCGCATAGCCCAGCTGGCAGTCTCCCAGCACCGGGGCAGAGGGGCCCATGTTGGAGTCCGGAGCCACCATCCTGCGCTGGCCGTGCAGCCCCGGGCTAGGCAATTTGGAGTGCTCAGAGAAGCAAGTGCTTTCCGGAGGATATACCTGCGGGGCACTCTCATCCAAGGCGCCACTGGCATGCGCCTTGATGTACTGCACCACGTCATCGGGCAGCACAAGGTCGTCCTCGGGCAGCACGAGGTTGCCCTCAGGCCCTGCACTGTCTGTCCCTGCCACCATGGCCTCCATCACCGTGTTCTCGCTGATGCTGGGCGGCCGGGGGGAGTAGACACTGCGGGTCAGGCTGCCGTCGGTGCTAATGGGACCCTGCAGGCGGAGGCTGCGCCTCTCGGGGGCACAGAGTGGCAGCGGTGTGGGGTTCACATCGTGGGCACTGTGGAAGCGCTGCACCCGTGGGGGAGCCAGGGCGTCGGGCCGCCTCACTGGGTCGCTGGCCCGCCGCGCCCCGCCTCCCGGAGCCTCGTGAGGGAAGGCGGGCGCAGGCCCCGCATGGCCATAGACCGGCCCGCCGCTGCCTCTCCGGGGTCCCAAGGCACGCTCGGGCATATCCAGCAGTGCCAGCCGGGCCCGTAGACTCCCGCGCTCCAGGCCTGGCAGCGGCGTGGGGGGCGG